GGTCTTCTAGGACATCCTCCTCATATGAATGTCAACCCACAGCAACCAGCATAAGCAAATGAAATAAAGGAATCTCCTGTACCTTTTTTAATTATTATTAGTGTGGGTATGGCTAATTAGTTCTGATTCACCCACAAAGATTACATTAATGCATAGTACATTTGTAAATAATCAGTTTTATACTGTATGTATATGATTGCTACTCTAAAGGTTTGGATATATGTATTGTAATTAGAATTGTTGGCATAATGAAATTTCATTTGTGCCAAAAATATTAAAAATGCCTTTTTTGGAGGGACTAAAGAAAGCACCTGATTTGCACTTGAACCAGATTATAGATTTAAAAGTATATGACATGTATTTTGTATTTAAAACTAGAATAGCCAGTATTTATGTTTTTTATAAAACTGTGCAATACAAATTATGCAATCACAATGAATTTGTAACTCCTGAGTGTCCTAATGGGAGTGCACATCTTTGAAGCTGGTGTGTTAATACTATGTAATAAATGGTTAAATATCAAATGATGCTGCTGCCAAAATCATATTAATAGTGAGTTTCCTGCCCCTGGGCATTTTGTACCATATACTTACTGTGGTGATACTGTTTTTCGTTGCTAGTGGCATTAGCACCTCTGTCTAATAGTGACAGTGCTCCAAGTCAGCATTCATTTTAAGAAAAGCAACTTTAGTTTCAAAGATAATTTTAAGCTTTTGACCTGATCATTTAAACTCTTTAAGTAGGAGAGCTAAATTAGAAGCTCAGACTTTAGCTTGCGAAGTTAATGAATTTTTGAAAGGGAACTTTTTATGCAACATTTGGAATAAAAGACTGCTGGCCAATCAGTGTCATCTCCAAGGTGAATTTTGGTGTCACATTATAAGGAAATGAATAATGGATGGTGTCTAGATTATCTAGTCAGAACAGTAGAGTTGATTTTTTCTTCATCTGAACCAACATGCTACAGTAGCTAAGAAGTATTAAACTATATACATCCATATAAAGATGAAATATGATCTATCCCATTAGAACTCATAGTTGAACACTGACATGTTATTCTTGTGAAAGAGCCACATTTTGGTTTTTTTTCCTTGTCACATGATTTATTTCCTTGATGGATGAAAAGTATGAAAGGAAACTTTTATATCTGTTGCCTAGTTTTGTATATGGATCTCATTTTACAAGAGAATCTCTGCAAAAAAAAAAAGTTTAAAAATGTACTGAAAGCAGAGTTCTAAAATGAGTAAAGTTTGTAAATGCATATATAAAAATAAATATTTAATGATGCAGAATATACAGTGATGGACTGGTGGCTTTCATTTTTGGCATTTCTTTGTATCTTAACAGCTATTCCAATTAATTACATATTTTCTTTGGGACCAATTTAAAGTGCAACTGGTTTGGTTACCAGATTAACTCAGAAAATGCTTACTTGATTAGCAAGAACTCAGAGGAGATTTACTTGAACAAATACCAGGGAGTGTTTAATATGATGTTCATTCATTCTTCTAGATGAGTGACTGCCAACCAGACCGTCCTGAACAGCGAGCGCCAGGGCATCCATGGTCGAGTCAGGAGTGGGTGCTGCTGAAGCTCCTGCCTCCTGTGCTTTCCCAGGAATGGGGGGCTTTGACTTGCTGTCTGCAATAAAACTGTTGCAGTTTGTTTTCCTTCATGTCCAGTGGTTGGAGTCCTTCAGCAAGACAGGCAGTCAGAAATGTTTCACAAAGTTAACTCATCTATCCAAAGGTAGTAAAACTTGTTCCCTCCTCAAAGCAATGCCTGCCTGGTTGCTCTTTTAATACTGATTCTCTCTGAGCTTGGTAAATAAGAATAATTACCACCCAATGTTGGGAACTAGGTCAGGACTGAATTCCAGTTAAATGACTAGTTTTATAACCAGTGCTTCTACTTTATAAATTTGATAACTTAAGAAAACAAATGAATAATTTTCCAGCCAGTGCAGTGTATTTTCACAAAATTTTTCTATGATAAGGCTGACCCAAGATGGACACACACTTGAATCTAAAAACAAAACAGCAATCTATGCCGAAGCCCACCACATGTGCTTCAGCCAGCAAGGATTTGTGCTTCCTTGGGTTTCTCTTTGATCTGTCATGCTGCCCAACACACCATGGCAATGTGTGTGGTTTGTCTCCCCAGTCCCATCCAGTTCACTGGAAAGTTCTGCACTGACATGTCCAGGTTGCAGCGTTTACAGGTTTGTCATGTTTCATCTGAATCCTGTCACTTAAGATATAAATCTTTATTCAGTTTGCCAGCAGAAAAGAATGGAATTGGAATGCCACCCCACCCTATATGTGGCAGATTCTACCCTTGGAGTTTGGGTGTGAACACAAAGTTAGTATAATTGAAACATAAAATTTGAAGTTAAAACTTCTGTAGCCTTTGATGTGTAATTGTGATTTCACCTTTCTCCAGACGTTGCTTTTTCAACACTTCTATTTTAAGGATGGAGGTCCACATCACTTTCAAAGTCGCCTGGTGTTATCAAGCTGAGTAACAAATGTGGTAATATAATGCTAATATGCAAGAAAGTCTTTTTGGCTTTAGTTTTAAAAGTTTGCTTTAGCACCAATCCAAATTCCAAGATTTTACCAATTTCCTTACCTAAACCATTTGTTAAAGGGTCTGAGAAATTCCATTCCTCTTTTTAACATTTATAGTATCTTGCCCTTTACTACTTCTGTATATAAAACTGTAATGATAAACCTTCTTTTCCCCTACAAAGAAAGCTTCTACTCTTTGACAGGTCCTAAAGCTTTAAATGATAGTCCATCCCATACAATTTTTCTTAGAACTATATCTGTCTCTACTCACTCCACACACGTACAAAATACAACTTCTTTTATTTCATTCTTTAAAAATTCGATTCAACTTAATTGGTTTGTTTCCAAGTTCATGCTTCTTATTCATTGTTCTTCACTCAGCCAATTTTTTTATTTGGTTGTACTTTCTGAAAATGGATTGCTTGATTTGGGTCCTGTAAAAACTGCTCTTTCATCCTATTTAAATATTTCCTCACATAAATTATAAAGCAAGCATATTTTATTTCTGGAAGCTAACCAACATGGTCTATGCAGTAGAGCAAACTAAACAAAGCTTTATTTATGTGCTAGTGGGAAATTATCAAGATCTTCACAGTAAACAAAGGAATTAACCTGTTAAAAACTCAATTCTAGATTTCTCTATCCTCATACTGAGGATGGTCTACTGTCCTACTTAGCATGATAATGCATGAATGAGAAATAGCCTGAAAGTTTCTAGCAGTTATTTTAAGGCTGACTTCTGGGCTACATAGATGGAAATTTACTCCTTCAAAAATACTAAATACAAGAGGGGCCTAACTACATACTTCTAGAAGTAGAGCTGGTTTTGCTAAAATAATGTTTTTACACATTTTCAGAGAACAAAATAGGTGCTTGATAGAAGGTAAAATTATATGACAAATAAAAATCACCTTTACATAAGACAGAATATCACAAAGGGCTCCTACAGAAACAGAAGGCTCTTGAGATAATGTGCTCCATCTACCAAACCATATAGTAGGAGTGAAACTAATTTTAAACATAAGAAATAGAGACTTAGAGGGGCGCCTGGCTGGTTCAGGTGGTAGAGCATGTGACTTGATCTCAGGGTCATGGGTTCGAGCCTCATGTTGAGATTTAAAAAAAGAGGAAAAAAAAATTAAGACTTAAAGACACAAAGCAACTGGCCTCAGGACTTGGCTCCAGAATAAACAAAGGTCTCCTGACTTAGCCAAATACAGGGAGCATTCTTCCCAGTTGCTACCTGCCTTCCAGAACGGGGCTATAGTATCTTATCAGAAATGGGTTTCCCACAACAGTTCCCCCTTCACAGAAAGTTCTTATGGAGAATTGCATTTTGTCCTCCAATGCAAATTGATTTGCTTTTCTTTTCAAATCCCTTTTACAAGTGGATCCACGAATTAGAAAGTACTGAATATGAACACTTCATCAAGACTGAAAACTGTGGCAATGATAAGCTACTAAAATCTCTTTTACAACTACAAATCTCCTATAGTACTTCTTACTTAACTGCGTTTTTCAAAAAGGAGAATCTGTTCTCTCAAGGTGGCTTCTTCCAAGTGAAAACATTCAGATACAGATGACTGGCATCCTATCCTACCATAGAAGTAGGTGTTTATTAGCAAACCCTACTTTGCTCTTGTTCATTATACTGATAATTTGCTAACAATCAACCAGAATGTTGGAAAACCCCCTTAAAGATTTCAATTTTACAGAAAGTACCCAAAATTCCACCAGTTTTGCATCACAAAGTAGTGGTTAAAGTAAGGTTTTGAGTAAAATGCCATGTGTGTGGTTTTTGTGGGTGGCTGCAGCTCAAAACGACTATTAGGCCTCCTCCGTTATCTACAGGGGAGAGCTATGATGGCGATTATACATTAAGACGATAATGATTATAACATTTTTTTTCTTCTTTGGCATTTATACACCACATGGGCAATTCTTGCAACCTAAAGGCAACTCAGAACCATAGCCTTTAAGTCTGGACCCCAAAACCTGCCAAAATAAATAAAAATGTAGATCCCTGGTGGGGTTTGACATTTGGTCAACTCCAACAATGCTTATGAACTATGGCTTCTCCAGGTGCTGGCATTTTATATAAACTCATTTGGTATAACAAATCTCTGGCTTACTGGGGTACCATATTTTTAAAAAAGAAAAATTTACCAAAGGAGAAACTTAAAATACTTTAAGGTCATGACAAACCAGTGTGAAAGAGAATCCTAACACCTAGAAGTGAAACTGCATCATCCACCCAGCCTGGAAAGAAAAAAGAAAGCTAAAAACCGCTATAGAATAAGAATGCAGAGTTTGAGAAAACCCCTAAGGTGAATTGTGAACAACAACAAAAAAGAGCCCCACAACATAAGAAGTGCATACTCTATGCAAGAACCACTAATGGAAAGAGCTCGCCAGCATTTCTGTAATTACCTCACAAAAGATGGTTAGTCCCATGTAAAGAATGGAACTTTCAACAATCCAGGAACTTAACTGTTCACTCCAGAACTCAAGTTATTTCATTCTCTTTCATATACTTGTCAGCTGTAGCATCTCATCCAGTCTTGTCAGCAGCTTTCTATAAAAGTTCTCTGGAAGAAAAACAATTGAAATTTGGTATGAAACTGGGACAAGAAGCACACAAGGCATGGGGGCTGAGCATTAACTCACTTCAGAGACCACCGGGAAGCAGGGTGGGATGAAAAGAACAAGGACCCTGAAATTGGTTCAGAGTCTTCGTACCAGCCCTACCGCTTTAGTGCTCTGACTGTGAGCAAGTCCTTTTATCACTGTAGTCATCACCCCCCATCTAAAGAATGGACATATTACTTACTCCTTTGGGCAGTAGTGAGCCTTAAAGACAATTTATGTCAAGTGTCTAGTACATATCTGATAACATGCTCTTTCCCATTTCTTTGCAGCATAATCACTTCCTTCTTCTCATACCTATCCACAATCTCAGCCAAATATTAAATGATCAAAGTTGCTCTCTCTGTTCCTATTAAATGTGCCTGATATTACCATAGGATCCTAAATCCTCGTGTCTAAACGTGACACATGGGGTCATATTGAGTCATCTTTTTAAAATTGTATCTCTAACATCTAAATTATGTTTTAACTACCAATCTGAACTGAATTCATACAGAAAGAAAACTATCTCTCATAGCTTATGACTTCCAGATAATTATTCTTATATTTATGATCAGTGTTTTTTTTTTTAATTTTTATTTATTTATTTATTTATTTATGATAGTCACAGAGGGAGAGAGAGAGAGAGGCGCAGAGACATAGGCAGAGGGAGAAGCAGGCTCCATGCACCGGGAGCCTGATGTGGGATTCGATCCTGGGTCTCCAGGATCGTGCCCTGGGCCAAAGGCAGGCGCCAAACCGCTGCGCCACCCAGGGATCCCTATTTATGATCAGTGTTAAGTTCAAATCTGACTTTTCAAAATATTCTTCATGGAATGATGTTTTTATCTTCTGAATGATTATGTGTTTCCATAACCAACATTCTTATTTACACCTCCCAATCCTGCTCAGATTATTATCCCCGACATCTGCATGGTTCTAAATTATATTATTTGTCATTTAACATTCAAATGCATATTTTAAATCAGATCTCACATAATGGTGGAGAGCCCAGCACTTTCCCTAATAATTTCAAGGACCCTAAGGAGGGTGCTTATAAGTTCCTAATGATTCGTTGTCATTTCTGATCCTAAACTCCAAATGCAACCTGATTCTCATCTCCCCTCTATTTTACTTCACCTCTACTGCTGACACAACCCACCGTACTGTCTCCAAAACACATTAACATCTGGGTGTCATGCAAGTAGATCTTTATGAGAGGAAGATTATAACAGCGAATAGGAAACTACTTAAAATTGAGAATCAGACATCCAAGCCCACACGCCCTTTTTTCTCTGCCATTGGAGGAGCAAGTGCTCATGTCTACCCTACTCCTAGGGCCCACTTTCTCACCACTCCTGCCCAAGCAAAATCATAATTTAAAAATTCCCTCCAACTTCAATTAAAAACAAAAAAATTCTTCCTTCTTTACTATGCAATTTCAACCCCCAGGTCCCAATAAGGTCCCAACCACTCCCATCTATATTAGCCCTTTACCTTGACCAAATAAAAAAACAAAACAAAACAAAAAATCCCATAATTCCCTTGTCCTTAGCTTCCAACTCAAGGATCAACCAGCTTTTTAAAGTAGCTTTTTTTTTTCCTTCCTGATAAATTCCTATATTAAAGAAGAAAAAATCAAGTTAGAAAGGTAAAGTGATTCGGCCAAACTAGAACCTAGGATTCCACGGCAGATCACATGATCTTACACACATTGTTCTCTATGCCACTGCTTCACTATGCTAGGTGCAGTCCTGCTGATCAGGTGCTGGGAACTCCACTCCTTCCCTGCCCACCTGTTTCGAGAAGACCTGTACATACTAGATAAAAATTCTAAGAGACACAAAGGAATGTAAAAGTTTTTAAGGGTCATGGTTGCACTAGCTCATTTCTGTATCATAGGTACCTAGCACAGTTCCTGTCAAAGGTGCTCATTACATTGTGGGGGGAAATAGTCTTTGCAAATCTTTACTTAATCTGCTCAAGGGTCTTGGAGCCAAAGCCAGTTAGGAGTCTTTCAATAAAGAAGGACTATCTAGTAGTGGCCCAAAGGGAGTTACATATAGAACAATCACTTACTACCCCTCTTGCTGCTAATTGACCATTTAATCCTACAACTAAAGATTAATTGTAATGCCTCTGGCTCCTACAGTCCTGCTTCATAACTCAAAAGCATCTTCCACTGCTCCCTCTAACCAAGTGACCCCACTCTCTCCCTTCTTTCAATTCTTTTCAACATGACTGTGTTGTCTCCACAAAGGTGCAAATTCAAACTCACGTGTACCCCCAGACTCCTCTCTCCACCGTGCCCCCTCATCTAACAACACTAAAAGACACCTTCCCTCTATAATCCGTGAGGACTGTAGCAATTCTCAGATTATCCCCAAAGAGACAAAACACAATTTAGGTAACAGAAGGAAGTTAGGGCCGTTTTGGGTAACGAATTACGGTTCATTTACATATGAGCATACATACGTACGACATGGATGAATCTCAAAAGCATTACGTTAAATAAATGAAGTCAGGTTTGAAAGGCTACATAATGTGTCATTCCATGTATACAACATTCCGGATAAACCAAAACTACAGAGACAAAAATCAGATCAGTGGTTGCCAGAGACAGGAGGCATGGGAAAAAGATATATTACAAAGGGACACTAGGGAAATATATGAGGTAATGGAAAGATCTTTGGTGTGTTGGTGATTATGTATATGTATACGACTACATGGGCTTCACAAAATTCAAGAACTACCACCTAAAAAGTAAATTTTATTATATGTAAATTATACCTCAGTAAACTTGACTGAAAACATTTCTAAAAGCTAGTGGGGGTGGGGAGAAAAAAGGGCCAGGTCCAAGAATTTGCATTTTTAATTTGCTCCCCAGGTAATTTTTTTTTAATATTTTATTTATTTATGAGAGACACACAGAGAGAGAGAGAGAGAGAGAGACAGGCTTCATGCAGGGAGCCCGACGCGGGACTCGATCCTGGGTCTCCAGGATCACACCCTGGACTGAAGTTGGCGCTAAAACGCTGAGCCACCCGGGCTGCCCTCCCCAGGTAGTTCTGATGCAGGCTGTCCATAGTCCACAGTCTGAGAAGTACTGCTAATGTTTGGGTTGCATCACAATACCTTTATGCTTTTTGGCACATGCAATGTGCACACTTTTGGAATGGAGTATCATTTCAGAGTTGAGTAGGAGAGTAAGAGCAAAAAAAAAAAAAAAGATAAGGTGTGCTCCTCCCTAAAAAAAAAAAAAAAAAAATTGTTTTAGAACTTGCAAATGGAGCAGTCCTCCAGTTATGCTGTATTCTCTTTCTTTTGCTGCTGTAATAACAAATTACCAAAAATTTAGTGGCTTGGGGGATCCCTGGGTGGCTCAATGGTTTAGTGCCTGCATTTGGCCCAGGGTGTGATCCTGGAGTCCCAGGATTGAGTCCCACATCAGGGTCCCTGCATGGAGCCTGCTTCTCCCTCTGCCTGTGTCTCTGCCTCTCTCTGTGTCTCTCATGAATAAATAAATAAAACCTTTAAAAAAAATTAGTGACTTAAACAACACAAATTGCACTTTGGTTGTTTGAGTCTAAAATGGCTTGGCAGTGCTGTGTTGCTTCTGGAGGCCTTAGGGAAGAATCCATTTCCTTGCCTTTCTCAGCTTCTAGAGGCAGCCCGCATTCCCCGGCTTGTGGCCTGCTCCCACTTTCAAAACCTCCAGTGGCCAGTCAGATTTTCCCATCTCAAATTCCTTAACATAATCACATCTGCAAAATCCCTTTGCCATGTAAGGTAACATATTCATAGGGTTTGGGCATTAGGATGTGGACATCTTTAAGGGGGCTGTTGTTCTGCCTATGACATACACCTAAGCAGAGTCTGGGCAAGCACTTAGGTTTAAGCCAAGAAAAAAGCAAATCACCCATCTGTTTTCAAGCTTAAAGGATTTGAATACAATTAGGAAGGTCACATTTTCTTATGGTCCAAACAGGTTGAAAAATCAGTTTATTAACATGACTGTAAAACTGGTAAAGCTGTACAAGATTACCTAAGACAGTATGTTGCTTCCTTTTACCTTCACTACTGATACTCTGATACTGATACAGAACAACTATTAAAGAGATGTGTTTGCTTTTTCAGACTCACACACACACACACACACACACACACACATACACACATACACACACCTTATTTTCTCAGTTTTACTTTTGAGCATTAGCATTTTAAAAATAAGACCCAGTGAGGGGCTCCTGAATGGCTCAATTGGTTAACCAACCAACTCTTGATTTCAGCTCAAGTCATGATCTCAGAGTCATGAGATTGACCTCCACTCAGGCTCCACTGGGCATGGACCTTGCTTGTGATTCTCTCCCTCTGCCTCTGCCCCACTTCCCCCCTCTTTAAAAAAATAAATAAGATCCAATGAAACTCAAAGAAAACAAAAGTGGACCATAAACATCCCAGTCAATAACCCTTGTTGATGGGGGGGTGGGAAGCCAATATATACCTGCATAAGATCAGAAAACTTTAAAAACACGCTATCCGTATCTCTTCTTTGGTGAGTGTACAAATTTTTGTTCATATTTTTATTTCTTTTACTATTACTGAATTTTAAGTTTTGTTTTTTATATTCGGGTTGCTGATTCTTTATTAAATACATGTTTTGCAAATACTAAACTTTTTTTTCCTGATCTATGGTTTGTCTTTTTATTTCCTTAGCATAGCTTTTCAAACATCCAAAGCTTTTAATTTTGACAAAGCCCAATTTATCAACTTTTTTCTTTTATGGTTCATGTTTTTTTGTGTCCTAAGAAATTTTTGTCTAACTAAAATCCCTAAGATTTTCTCCTATGTTTTCTTCCAGAACAGCAGTGTACAATAAAGCTTTCTGTGATGATGAAAATGTGCTATACTCCAAGCTAACCAATACACTAGCTATAGCAAACCACACATAGCTACTGAG